TATTACTTTGGCCCGAGATGGGGTTTTTGTTTTCACAGATGCAGGTCTACAAAGGGAGAAGGACAAAGCAAGCATTGGAATGGCGGTTATAGATAGCTATGGTCATTTGCTTCATGCCTTTGGTACCCCTATTCAATTTGTAGGGAAGGCCATAACTGCTGAAGCACTAGCAATTCTGGAAGCTGTTGAAAGAGCACTACAAAGTGGTTGGTCAAAGGTTCACATACTGTCAGATGCAAAGAATTTCATACAAATGTTGCAAAAGAATTTGATAACATCTTGGGAAATAGAGACCATTTGCGAGGATGTCTGGCGATTGATAAGTCTTTTGAAGAAATTGAGATTATATATATTCCTCAAACATGGAATGTATTAGCTCATAATCTAGCAAAAATTTCTATTTCATGTATAAGTAGGATTTCTTGGGATTTCGCCTTCCCAAGTTGTGTTGTAACTGATGCAATGGTGTCTTATGGACATCTGAAACATATTTTAAAGTAATGCAATAAAGTATTTTCCTGAAGAAAAAAAAAGGGAGAGAAGGAACTTTGGCCCATTTTTTCTGGAAATGGGACCCAAGAATCCATTTGTCAAATTATGAAAGCAGCCTCACACAACTTTTGTATGCCACCTCATACTTATCCCTCAACCACCATAAAAATTTTCAGAGCACAATGTATGGACATCTAGTTCCTCCTGATGCTCTTATTAAATTTGTGCAAAAGGGTATTTGGTATCTTGTACTGGAAACAAATTTGAGCAATGTAAGGCAGACATTTTGATATTCTAATTTTTCTATTTGAAGATTAGATGTTTTTATAACTTTGAACTAACCAATAATAACTACGGAATGCAGGATGATACCAATATGGATGAAGACAAGCCTTTGGATCTCATTACAAAGAACGTATATGAGCTGCAAAAAATAATAAAATACAAAAAGCAAAAACTTCAGAAAGATAAACCTAGGAGGAAGGATAAGGTGAATGCTGACCACAAACAAGAACCTGCAAGAGAAAGGGAGACGGAGAAACAACAGAAGGAAAAAGAGTGTGAATAGGACAGAGAAAGGAGTGATGTAATGGTTTTGGAAGGACATACATCTAAGGTTCGCCATTATTTCTCAATAGGTGATCTAATATATAGATTTTGTTTTATGTATTCTATATTAACATTACAATTATTTCTTGTTTCTTAACTCATGCTAGGTTTTTGTCTGTGGTTGGAGTTGAGAAGGGTCATTATATTGCTTGCATCTGGTAAGCATTGGTACCATTTCTTTCCTTTTTGCTCTCGTCTATGAATCAACTGATGTTCATAATCGTACTTTTGTTTTTTTTCTCTTAGTTAAAAGGTTGAGAGTAGTTGTCTCTTATAGCTAACCATGTGTAATATCACATTAGGTCTGGAGACTCCAGTGCTAGAATTTGGACTATTGGAGATGGTCCATGTAATTCTACCATTCGAAGGAGGCCTCCAAATGTTTTGGTTTGAAGCATTTGGAAAGTCAAGCAACTCAGAAAAACAAGGATGTTACATAACTTGACTGCATTGCTTGTGGTTACATTCTTGTTTTTATTTGATCTTGTTTATATGACTTTTTCTTGTACAGAGCGAGGGTACCCTGCTTGCAACAGGTTGTTACGATGGCCAAGCAAGAATCTGGAAACGATCTGGTAAGGAGCATGGAGGAAAAACTTGTTTTGAAGATTGAATGTATAAATTGCCACCACTTTTCATGTCTTTTTTTCTCTTACTGACTTTTCATCCGGGGGAATTGGTTAGTACTCTTAACAAACATAAAGGGCCAATCATCTCTTTGAAGTGGAACAAGAAAGGTGATTATCTCCTTAGCAGTAGTATTGATACAACTGCCGTTGTTTGAAATGTGAAGTCTGGAGAATCGAAGCAGCAATTTGATTTTCATTCAGGTGTTCTGTCTCAATTATTCTTTATAGTTTACCTCATATCTGAGTAAAGATTGATTTTGCTTATGTTCTCACTGTTGTTATCCAACCCCACACAGGTCCATTGCTTGATGTTGCTTGGCGAAACTATGATTCTTTCGCGATCAGCTCCGCTGATAACATGCTATAGGTTTGTAAAGTTGGAGAGAACAAACCAATCAAAACTTTCTCAGGACATCAGGTGTGGTCCAGTGCAAATTGAATTACTAGTTCAACACTGAAACTTAGCATGTTATGCTTGATTGGATCATGGATGTGAATAGTCTTAAAGGGTTGCTTACTTTGCCATTGCAGAATGGAATAAATGCTATCAAGTGGGACCCCTCAGGTTCCTTGCTGGCTTCACGCTCTGATGATACCATTTAAGGAAGTCAACAAATTACAGAGAAAGTTGAATTTTAGCTTCAACTTTTCCTGCGTTAGGACTTTGAATGTGTTGTTTCCAAGAAATTATGCTTATTGTTTCTGTGCAGATATGGAGCATGAAACAGGATGTCTGCTTGCATGATTTCAGAGAACATCGCAAAGTATCTATTTTTGCAAGATTCATTTAATTAAATCAGACATCAGCTGCTGACTAATATGTTTTTGTTAGGAGATATATACCATCAAATGGAGTCCAACTGGCGCTGGTACAAGCAATCCGAATAAGCAGTTGTTGCTGGCAAGGTATTCTATCTATTACTACCGGTCATGTTTACAGTATTCTTTAACATCAGTGTCGTAGATTATGATTGGATCATTTTTCATACCTAAGCGATAAAGGTTCTATATTTTGCCAGACAGTGAGTTTTCACTATTTATAAGAAGATACTCCCTCCATTCCATTTTATATGACCCTATTTTTGTTGTCCTTTCAAGCCCCTGCTCTGTTTGCACTTAAGGCTTCTAGTTGAATCAATCTTCTGTACCATATAGCAATTTTAGGGGGTAGTGAAGCATGGTGCCTGCTACTTCGTAGTTACATTATTCTATATAAATTTTGTTCAAAGTTCCAATTCTTTACGTAGAAGAGTACCAGTTATATGTTAAAGGCGCACTTAAGCTTTGAAGCGGGGCTCAAAAGCCCCAACGAACTTTCAAGCCCAAAGAGTTGAGTTTCAAAATTTGGAATAATTGTGATCTAGCCCGTAGTGGCGTAATCCCCTTGCGAGTAAAAATAATCCAGAGAGATACAGTTTCACTTTAACCATCGTGTGCGCTGATTTAATGTAAGGTTAGTTCTTTGAGCTTATTGGCTATGTTTTATTGTATGTCTGTGTAGTGCTTCATTTGACTCTACCGTGCCGTTATGGGATGTTGAACTAGGGCGTCTTCTTCACAGCTTGAACGGTCACAGGTAATGGATGTTAACTCATTATGTCTAGTACTTGGAACGGACACAGGAGATATTAAGGCACTCTTACTAAAATTACACTTTATAATCTTCAAATGATAGGCTTGAGTATTATGGGGTTTGGTCACTCGTACTCAATTGAACTATCGATACCTATATACCTAGTCCTTTTATTTGGGTGGGGATGTGAGGGGAACCTGTTTAGAAACTATGCCTTTTAGAAATGCAGAACAATTGAGGCTCAAACTAAAGTCACATGGTAGATAAGCGCTTTTCTGGTTTCACCTAGTGTCTGGTTACCCAGATTGGGACCTTACTAAATCATTATGGCATTGATCTAAACTTAAGGTTGCGGTACTGCTAGTATAGTTGTTCCTCTTACTTAAGTTGTGGTACTTCGGGTTGATAGTCTAACTAAATGTTTCTCTTAAATACCAGTTGATATTCAAGTTGCATCTATTCTTAGACAGCAAAAGTGAAGACACAACTTGAGAACTGATCGGGTATAATAGAAAGGTGACGCAATGCTTAACCTGGAAATACTATAAAAAGGAACTATATGAGGAGCTGGAATATACCACACATGGAGAGCAAGAAATTGGAAATTATTTAGAGGAGAGGATACAACTGCACAGACAAAGAGTGGCTTACTTGAATGACACTACGAATCCATCAAAGCAACTCCTTCTTATCTCTTAATAGAGATCATCAAAGAATATCAACGAGAGAGGTGATTAGACAAGACATCTGACACCTATAGATTGTAGCTAGAAGTGGTAAAATCGTCTCAAAAAATCATAATCCACCCAATCTGTTTAGATTTGAGCAGGTTAATAACACGTTTATTTTATTAACTAGAGTGATATGCAGCCCAAATGGTAAATAATGCCTCGCATGCATACTGCTGAAACTTAATGCCCTTCTCTTTCCCTCAATTAGCTATCCTCCTGTAGTTTAATACATTCAACAGCTATAAGGGATTCAAGATCATCTAAACACCTGTAAAGTGTAATAACAAAATCAAGCAATTCTCCCTCAGCATCAAACTAGAAGAGTCCTACAAGGATGGAGGGCAGATAAAGTAACTTTTACCAAGTAAAAACATGAAATGTATATCCAGCAGCAGAAGCCTCACAGGCCTAATTAAGTAAATGCCACATTCTTGCTCTAGTGTCCGCGCACTTGGAGCTAGAAGTTTTATCAGATCAAATGTATATTCAATAATTGGATTCCTGTGAATCAAGACACCAACATTCATAGTTTGCTCTGGATATTGCTAAGAGCTCCTCTATTGTCATTCTCTCGTGTGCCACGGATGTCCATGGATCAGAGCAACCGATAAAGCGTTGACCTGGTGAATTTGATACCCTAACCATTGGGTGGTCCTGCGAGCACATCCTCTTGTACAACCGCATCGCAGACACTGCATCTTGGTAAGGATCATGGAAACCAACTTGGATGTCATATCTGTTTGGGCCAAAAGTTTCGGTCAGCATAGCACACAAGTGTAATAAACACAGTTGAAGCAAATAACTACTAAGCCAGTCACCAATTCAAGCTTACAAGGAAACAACAGTGACTGAACATTTTAAAGTACAACGCACAATAAGAATATAATGGATAAACTTGACCGACAAAAATACAAGAGAAGATAAAATTAGAAGTAAAGAAAACATGAGAGTAAGCAAGTAACTTGCCCTAGATAAGTCTTGGTTAGATATTTCAGAGAATGGCTGAAAAAGTTGGTCTTCATCAGGGGCTGGTATGTTGCAGTATCTCTGCATAGAACAAAGGCAAGACATGAATAGAGGAATGCATCTCATGTACAAAAGATCTCCAAGACATACACACAGATAGCGTCTCTATTTACCCAACTTGACAGACAAATACAGAGAATGTGAACAATTGATATGATAATTCTTACTTTCATCTTCATCTCTTATATACAAGAGAACTCAACATAAGCTGCAATGGGAACTATTGTACATGCTCGCAGATCAACGAGCTAAAGGGGCGGAAATTGTAGGTGCAACAAAGAGTGCTATTTCACGCCTTACCTAAATGAGTAAATAAAAAAATGTGGCAAAGGCCTTGGAAAAATACCATTCTCCTTGACATAAGTACCTGATTAAGTCCATCCTCAAGAGCAAACCTACTTTCACCTAATAAGCATAAATGTTCCACCCACAACAATAGTCAACTATAAGCTACTCTCTTTTTCTTTTTTCTTTTTAATAGCCTGTGCTGCCAGGCCAAATTGTGTGCACCTTGACCATTCATGTTGATGCATGACAGTGAATGGATACACATAATACAAGCCAATCCCGTGATCTGGACATAATACATGTTTTAAGGTTCCTAGAAAATGATTTTCATTTATTAGAAAGAAAAAGAAAAATAAAAATAAAATTACCTCTGAAGATGATCAAGATACGACAACTTCAAGCAACGCAGGTTTGTCTCAAGGTTATGGCCCACAAGTACTCTACCAATTGGCTCTCCGCTGTAGAGAATCTGTGGAATTCTCTCCCGGACTTCATCCCAAGGCATGGCATTTTGTAGATTTTTTTCTGTTATACCAGTAATTTCATACCTGGCACACAATGATGAGGAAGTATGAAAAGGTGCGATACAAAAAGCGTCAGCTTACACTATAATTAAATAGATATGTTCATTTGCCAGCAGATACCTATAATTAGCCACAGGAGTCGGAGGTAGAACATAAGTCTGAAAAATAATCTTCTCATCTTCGTCAACTAGGCATACCCTTGCGCAAAGTTCTTGTGACCAACCACCTCCAACCATTACACAACCTATGGCGACTACTTCCTTACCTCTTATGTTGATCATTTTGTCTGCTGAACGATGCATCTCCACTGTCTCCTGCAACAATTATACATACACATTCCAGCAACTAAACATACATCTGGAGTATCCTAAGTGTAACTGATTCTTGCGAATGCATCGAGGAAAGAAAATTCATCAACTCACAATGGGTTGAGGAGTGGTAAGACGACATGTTTCCTTATGCTCGTTGAGAGAGTCCATGCTGCTACAGATTTTCAGACACAAAATGCAGCCTCGTTCAGCAAAGACGCTTGAGCAACTCACTTTGGCCAACGGACCTAAATAATTAAAGTAAAAAGAAAACTTAGAGATCATTTACACCTAAAGATCATTCATTGTCCAAGCAGAACAACTTACCAGCAATGTGCTCCCTTAGTGATTCAAATGATTTGCAATGTTTGTTACACACACCGCATTTAGGGTCATGAACCGAATGATGAGATTTTCGCATATGTTCAATAATATGATCCTTCTCTTTGCACTGCTTGTAACAAGCTGGACATTTGTGCCTGACATTACATAAGCAAATGAAATCAAAATTCTACAAGATTGTGTTTTTACTCCTTCCCTCAATGTAAAATAAAAATAATACTGCAATCCCGGGATATGTTATCTTATCTCAAATTCTCAACCAAACATGGGACAAACTCATCCTAAAATTAATCCTGGGATTAGTTATCCTGGATCCCTCTTTCAGTGGGAATTGAATTCTTGATTCCTTTTCTAACAATAAAATTTTAAGAAAACCTTCAAAATCCCAACTTTTAACCATCAAAGTCATTTTATAAGTGTGTGAAAAATTAAAGCCCCAAACAAGAAATTGTTTGAAATAAAGTCATATAGAAAAAATAGGATTCATAATTTACCTTGTGGAGAGGGGTTGCAGAGGAATTTCTGAAGGTTCCACTTCCACATTCTGATATCCAATGAATCTGATATTCGAATTATAACAAGAAAAGATTGGTTTCTTAGCCAACACCATATAAACAACAACAACAAATCCACTATAATTCCACAAAATAAGGTTTGAGAGGACATAACGTATGCAAATAAGGTCTATAGGATATATACCCAGAACTTACCATATTTAATTTTGCTCTTGTTAGTAAAACAATCAATATATTTTATCTAAAACAATCAATATTACAAAAATTGATCATTCAATCACATTTATTATATACATGCATCACCATTTATATACAAGGTTGCATCTGTTAATAATAATACATCTGATGTTTGACTAATTAACAAAAGACACATATTAATATGATTTCGTATATATACATCTATGATATAAAGTTATTCATCATATATACACGGTTATGTACTAATTACACAATATCGATACGTAATACAACTATTTACACAATATCAAGTTACATAATTATTTACACAATATGGAGTTACATAACTATATACACAATATTTATACATTGCATATACATGTGATCATCTTTGTAGAAAATAATTTTTGTTACATGTACAACTATGTAAGAAGCCCTAAAATTTTTAACTTCAGAATTTCTAAAGTTTAGAATTTCTAATGCTAATAAAAGAATTTTGAAGTTAATGTGTGTAAATAAATTGTTTGAACAAAAATTACGGCTAAATATATATTTAAATTCCCCTGAAGAGTATGACATGTTGCGTGAATATCACACTCAAGAAGCTCCTTCAAAAAAATTCAAGTGATAATACTATAGCCATCAAAATGATTGAGCCAGCATGCTACTTGGTAGGGTTGGGTAACAATTTTTTAGCCCATTTAGATCTAAATTTTATTTGTCTCTTAATAATATTAAGACTTTGTTCAAATGAGCTAAATGATTAAGACATATTTAAATTAAATAAGTGTTAAAATCCTAATGTAAGCAAATGCTCTTAATGGCCTAAAGTATGAACGCTTCAGATTCAAACTTTGATTAAATCTAAGAAATACAGTTATTTAATAGGTATTTTTATATGAATAATTTTCACTACCACTCAATCCACAACTATTAAGCACCTTGGTCATCACAATTACCATCATCGCCACCAACTACCAGTCATCCTTGCCATCAAAACCACCATTAGCAACCATATTGTTGTCAATCAATATTATCAGTCGCTACTGCACTTATCATCACTATTACTATCACTACTATGACCAATCCCTACTATCAGTCACCTCCATTATCACAATTAGCACCATCCTCAACTACTAACATCAATCAACTCTACCATCACAGTCACCATCACTAATACCAATTGTCATTATGATCATGTGAGTCACCACACCACTATCTACACCATCATAAGTTCATAACTATCACCACCACAAGTACTAGCCACTAGCACCAATTATCTAAACCACCACAACTGCAAATAATCTATATCATCACTAGCAAACATGCATATTTTTATAATACTTTTATTATATTATATTTATATATTTTTTGAAATATTTAATTACTATTTATCTAAATTGTATATTTATTAGGATTAAAAATAAATAAAAATAGAGCATTAAGGTGTTGAAGACAAATAATTTTAGGGAAACTTACAGAAATTCCATACATTTGAGGGTTAATTATATCTTATGCCGAGAATTTTCCCAATTACAAAACTCACAAATTTTTCATTGCTCTCGGATACATTCCTTGGTTGTCTGATACATTGCAAACGATACATTAATTAATGAAAGAGTTGTATCTGAGAGGGGATATGGATGTATCCGAGAGGGGATAAGGATGCATTCGAGAGGAGAGGGATGTATCCGAGAGGGGAGGGATATCTGTGAGAGGGGATAAGGATATATCCGAGAGGAATTTTTGTAATTTTTTTAAATGGTAGAAAATTTCAGAGATTATGATATCTTAAGTTATGGTTTTATGTAATATTTCCATAGTTTGATCATTTGGTTCAGATCTAAAGACAACAACTAATCATTCAAATGTGCAATCCAATTTCCTAATCTTAATGCAAATAAATGGTGTATAAGCCATCTTTTCCAATTTCATCTAGTGAAATTCTCTCTCAATTTTTTTCCTTTTTCATATCGATTTTTTCTCAAACCCTACAAAATATTCTTTGATTTGTTTCATCAACTTCATTCAAAATTCACTTTATCGTTAATACAAAAAAATAAGAAAAAAATATAATATTTGTAATTGTCGTACCTGAAATTTTTGCTGAAAACCGGACGTTTGACGTTATTGTCTCCTTCCCCCATCTTTTTCCTTTTCGTAGAATTGCTCAAATAGAGAGCAACACCTTTCAAACTCTTCAAATATTAAAAAAAAAATCAGCAACTTTCTATTTAGGCGTGCAAAACACTTAATTTTCAATCTGGTAAGATTTCTTCAATGCAGCATCTTACAAATATAAAAGGTATTAGGCGGCGCATATAATATAACTGTAAAGTTTAAAATATTTGTATTAAATTTAGTAAATAAATCATGTACTATTTTTGTAAGTGATAAATAGTAAATGCCAATCAACCCTGGACCAACGTAATACCCCAAACTCGTCTTAAAAAATATAAGAAATCATTACAAATATAATTCAATTTTTAAATTATGAAATCAATCCCAAATAAAATTATTTTAGTCGCACTTCTGTATTACCAAGAAAATCAATACAAATAACTCTTTTGAGTTAAAATATTTAATTTGTTGGGATAAGGCATAAGTTTCCTTTGAACTATACCCAAAATCTCAACGACACATCTTAACTTAATTAGGGTCCTATTACCCCCTTAAATTATTTTGAAATGAAATAAATGCACCATAAATATTGATGTGGCATAGAGAGTGTGCACACTCTCTATAAAGGCTAGTGAGAAGCGAAAAAATAAGAAAACTTCCATTAGTATTGGACAGATGTCCATTTTTAATTCGTCATTTTTGTCACGATCCGAATCTATACTCCAATCGAAACATGGTACCTAGGA